CAATTCTTTAGTCTTCAGTCACATGATCCTTCAGAAATAATTCTAATATGCTACATTTGGTTTTCAAGAATCACGGCTTATTATTTTCTTATTATACTTTTTTTTTTACAATTTTTATTTTCTCTTTCAAAAAAGAAAAAAAAACAAAAAAACAATGACCCCACACTTTCAAATGGTAGTGTATATTTTTATCTTCTTACAAGAGAGTGAAAAAAAGAATCACTGTTTGTAAATTATCTTCAAAGAAGCTCTGTTTAAACCCAAAATGTTTTTAAAAATCACTGTGACTGTACAATATTTCTAATTATTACAGTTTTCACTAAGGCTCGGCTGAGAATCTAGTCTCAATGTGCGCTTTCTGCTTAATGCTATGAGCAAATGTATGTAATGGATTCTGAGCATTCCTCTCTTAGAACAAGTAATGCTGCTAGTCTGACATGCAGTGACTCATTCAACATAAAACAGGTTAACCCGGCTACACTGCTACCTGTTTCCATTCATGTTTGTCGCCCAGGCCATTTATATTTATTCCTAAATTGTTTCGGTTTCATGGCGCCAGCATGAGTGCAAGTCAAGTGACAATAAACCACCAATACGATGGCATACAGTATGCACACGGCAGCAAATATAGATTGAGGTATGCCTCCACAGAATGAATGGAAGAATGCAAAAAGGAAATAATCAGGAAGGCTGAGAATATATTTTTGATTCAAAGCTGAATTGTGTTGTGAATTGTGCAAAATCAGCGTCAATAGCATTAACAGAACTGCATAAATTATGACTGTGTGCAAACCGGTTTCCAATTCCACCCATTCTCCAGTTTGTCACTGGACGACAGAATGGAGTGTTGAAAGCACTTTCCAGGGAAACAGGTTACCAGTTGTCTCCGCACATTAACCCGGGATGGGGGAAAGCATTTTAGCATCCACATGACTACATGCTTCAGCTTTAACTAATGCAGTTTGTACATAGGAAAACTCTTGATGAGTGCATTAAGCATATTATATGTGTTCATTAAGAATACATAAAGGCATTTGGGTCATTTGATACTAAAATAGCATCTCAGGTTTGCTCATCAAATCCCTGCACTTGGCTCATTTGCAGTTACATCAAATTTGTAAGCAGCAGTGTCTTTTAGTAGCGGTTTGCGTCATCGTAAGAGCTGAGATCTACATCAAAGAAGTCCTCGAGTTTCCACTGCAGAGCTTCAAAGGTGGGTCTGTCTGCAGGGGAGTCCTTCCAGCATTCGGACATGATGTCATACAAATATTTTGGGCAGTTAAGAGGGTACGGCATCCTGTAGCCTTTGGACAACTGTTGTACCACCTGAAAGTTTGTCATGGCTGGAGAAAGAGTGAAAAGCAACATTAAAATCCTTCAATGCTTTGACCTGGTCAAACTTTACTGTATAGCATATAACAATGGTTCTCAACTTGTGGGTCGAGATCCAAAAATGGGTTGCAAGTTTGTTCTTACCCTTGTACAAAAATCACACAAAAAACAGAAACAGAGAAAATAGAATATTAAATGCAGTTCAGTGAGGAAGGGCTGCAGTTCATACTGATATTAATACATTTTATAATTTGGTTTTAAGGACCTTACAATACCGTACAATAAACTTTGTTTCTTTAGGAACCAGACTGTACATTGAACATAAACTGGCCCAGTATGGTGATATATATTTCCTACTGAAACACTGAAGGAATTTTTTCTTTTTAAAAATAGTCAGTAGCCTTTAGTTTACATCACACCATAACTTTCTACTTGATACTGCTATTGGATTGTGCCCCTGAAGCCTAGACATATTATTAGTATTTTGGTCTATTTTTCTGTATGAGAACGATGGGTACAATAAGCGAAATTATAAATGAGAATGACGTACTTGGGTAAGGAATCTGTCCAAATGTCACAATTTCATATAGTAGGATCCCAAAAGACCAAACGTCAGATTTGATGGTGAATTTGTTCTCGTGGATGGCCTCGGGAGCAGTCCATTTCACTGGAAACTTGGTTCCTTCTTTGGCCTCATAAACATTCTCATTTTCCATCTAAAGAAATCATGCAGTGAGAAAGCCAAAAGTACAGTTTTTGTACTTTTTACCCAAAATCAGTGCATACAATATAGCAGTGGTTCTCAACAGATTGGCTTCAGAACATCAAGTGGTCAATCAAGATGAAATAATACAATGTTACAGTATTAATAATATAACAATGAACTGAATAGACCCAACAGTATCCAAATGTATTGATATGACAAAGACTGAATAGGGAAATGGTCAATTTTGTAAATGAATAAATATAAATAAAGATCAACTATGGGCCAAATATTGAAAAGACTGACCGAATACACACAACCTTTGATGTTGCCAAGATTATTTACTTTACTATGCGCTTAGTTTACCATTTGCATTTACTGTCCGTGACACTACTGTGATAGATCTTTGACTCATTTTTGGGTAGCGACCCATTTGAGAACCACTGCCCCATAGGTAAGCTGAGGGGTCAGGCCTTTTTTAAAAAACTGAGAATATTTCTTACCTGAAATACACGTGCCAAGCCAAAGTCGGCCACCTTACACACATTGTTATCTCCCACCAGAACATTTCGTGCCGCAAGATCTCTGTGAATGTAGTTCTGTAGCTCAAGGAATGCCATGCCAGATGCCACTTGGGATCCCATTTCTATCTGATCAGACAATTGAAGAGAAGCACCTCTGTCTTCTGTATGAGAGAGAATATAGGGAATAAATATAATTAACATGTCAGATGTTGTTTTGTTACAGTTTCAGAATAAACTAACCTCAAAAACCTACGGTTTATGTGGTCAAATAACCTACTAAATATTTACACAATGGGGGAATGAGATCTTGCACAACACTGGCCCTGATTATCTGTCCAAATAAGTTGCTGACACCAGGAGGAAAGGGTTCTGGGAAACGAAGCAGCTGAAGCAGTCTTTCCAGGTCCTGATTGACCTGCTCTTTCTGCCCATTAGTCTATGAGCCCCATGAGACAGATCCCCAGTGAAGACCTTGTCTCCTAGACGGCCACCGGGACAAGACCACAGGAACCAGTTGATTCCTCTGCACAATGTGACTTTGCTGCAGCCTGGAATTGAACTGCTGGTTTCGTCTGGTCACAGGAAGAAAATAGCCCTTTTCCACCGTAGAGCAGTAACAGTACTACTAGCATTTCCATTAGAATGTGGTTTGGTTTGGTATAGTACGATTGCAAACCATGCACAGATATCTCATCAAGTTTAACAACCTGAACTCTGGACAGGAGAACTACACTGAAAAAAAATGGTAACCTAAAAAATTGGCTTCTTGTGGTGACATCTAAATAAACTAATTTTATTTTATATAACAGAATCAACTAAAATATATCAGGTTACACCAACAAAACAAAATTTAAGAGTAAGCTCAGGTACAGTAGAAATAGCTTTTAATGTAACAATTGCAGGTTACCACTTTTTACAGTGGATCCATGCAGAAATACTGTGGGGGGTGTGCGATATGTATCATCTTACATTTTATACACAATATTGGCTGTTTTTGTTCTATTTCGCCAACGAAAATTCCAATCAAAGCCACAACAAATCTGTTGAGCATCTCCGAGAAACAGACAGTGATGCTTTTTTCTGAATGAATCAGAGTTTTAGAACAAATCAATGATTCAATGATCCATTCATAAAAACAGTCAATTGCTTCATTCCCGAATTAATTAGCCCTTTGAATGAATCGGTTGAATGAACGGTCGAGTGAGTGACTCACTCACTCATTCAAGAGTTGCTAGTTTTAGCTTCATATTTAAAGGAGTCATATGATGCGATTTCAAGTTTTCCTTTCTCTTTGGAGTGTTACAAGCTGACTGTGCATAGATAAGATCCCTGAAGTTGCAAAGACTAAAGTCTCAAAACCAAAGAGATATTCTTTATCAAAGTTAAGACTCTGCCACGCCCCCCTAAAACGGCTCGTTCTAACACGCCCCACATATCTACCTCACTATGTGAAAATATTTGCATAATGTGGCCCAAATGTGCACGCAAAGAAAGAAGGCGTGGTTTCAGTAACCGCAGTTAGTGATGAAGCAGC